ACATGAATCAGGGTTGTACAGCCACTGTCTTCTACAGAGCCACTGGCTTTTTCCAGCTTCCAGGTCCCATGATTTATGGGTAGTTGAGTCATCTCTTTGCAATATGGGAAGTTGCACCAAACACCTCCTTTCTAATCAGTTACTTTCAACCTGCATGTGTTGAGATTCTGCTTTGTCAGTCACAACAATGTGTAGATGTTTTGCTTTGGGCTTGCTTACCTGTCCCTACCCATAACAGACTTACTAGGGTTGACTCTTGACTAGCCTTCTTTAGCATGGGATTTCCTCAGAACTTTGGAGATTTTATGGTTCAAGACCCTGCTCTTTGTAGGCCATAAGCCCTCAAATTTTCAGTTCCTGGGGCCTTTTTCACTTTCTCTCAGGAATGAGAACTGGCTTGGCAAGAATCTCTGACACAGGTGGCCTGAACGTCTAAGCAACACATCCTCACTGCCATCCTTTAACCCAGCAGCAGCTCAAATAATTTTGCAAAACTCTGCTTGTGATCTCTCATTCTTTGCTCTCCTCCTCCTCCTCCTCCTCCTCCTCCTCCTCAGAGGCAAGTCCAAATTCTGTAAAGGAAGAGCCTCTGTGTGATATGCAGCAACAGAAAACAGACCATTATCATGAGCTATGGGGAAAAAAACCTGATGGACTGCACTCACCCTGAACTGCTAGAGCCTGCAGCTACAGAAGCTAGAGAATCAGTGTGCGGCGCACACACACACACATCCCACATACATAACTGTTCAGAAAGAAATGGCTAAGGAGAAAAACAATGACAGCATCAAATGATGGAGAGGATGTGGAGCAACCAGAACTCACATTTATTGTTGGTGGGAGTATAGAATGATAACCACTTTGGAAAATGTTTTTCAGAAGTTAAGCACACAAATACCTTATCACCCAGCAATCCTACTCTGAGATATTTATGCAAGAGAAATGAAAACATAAATCTATAAAAAACCTTATATAAGAATGTTGATAGCAGCATTACTCATAACAGCCAAACACTGGGAAAAGACCAAATGCCTATCAATAAGAAAATAAATTATGATATATTCATACAATGAAATAGTACTCAGGGGAAAAAAGTGGGATGTACTGCATACACGCAGCGACCTGGATGAATCTTTTAAAAAATGTGCTGAGTGAAAGAAATCAGACACAAAAGTACATACTGTAAAAATCCATTTATATGAAATTCTAGAATATGCAAACTAACCTATACTGATACAAATCAGATCAGTGGTTGCTTCTGGGGTAGAGAACTGACTGGAAAATGGCAGTAGGGAACTTTTTGTGGTGATGGAAACATTTTATGTCCTGGTTGGGAGCAGTGAGGCTGCACAGTATATGTATTTGTCAAAACTGAGTCAACAGTACACTGAAGAACATTTCATTGTATGCAAATTATACCCCAATTTAAGAAAACCATATTGAATGCTTTGTTTCTCAAGTCTCAAAGAGAGAAAAACTTAGACTTAGGCGACAGAAAGGGGCCTGTGGAAATCATGTGGTCCCTCACATTATGCAGGTAGATAAACTGAGTCCCCAAGAGGAGAAGTGACATGTTCAAGATCACACAGAGTTGGTGGCTGAGGGAGGACTAGAACTCAATGACCTTAATATACAGGAGAGTCAGTGGCCTCAGTGAGTGACCACTTCCAAAGACAATGTTGAGAATTACTTTAATCCTGTACTCCTCTTGCTTTAATATTATCAATTAATTGTCCAGAGGACCTCAGTCATCCTGGTGTGCACTTCTATCCAACCCTGTTCTATGCCCCTCCACAGCCCCTTCTGATGATACTTCACCAAGGGGGGTAATTTCCCAAGCTATGTCACCATGAAGACCAGTGCACAACTAGGCTAGATAGAATGAACTGGAATTATCCATTATCTCTGGATATAGGAGGTCTAGTTCACTGGTCTCAGGTCATCCATCAGAGTTTCATCAGCTCTGAGGAAAGGTAAAGGAAACCCTAGTAGCCATACATCAGGAAAAATATCCTGGTGCTAAGTTCAGGAGAAACCCAAGATGCTACAGAAACTGTGGAGAGGTCAATGCCTCAGGCTAAAAATGGAGTAAAGAGAAGAATCCACTTAGTTCCTCACATCACCTATGCAAACCAGGCTGGGCTCCTTGCTCTCTTCTAAACAGCTGTTCTGACTTAGTAGATTCAGGCTCTCCTGGTGACCTCCATGCCCATTGCTGTTTCCGTACTCTTTACTTCAGGGGTCCTCAAACTACGGCCCGTGGGCCACATGCAAATACAAATACTGTATTTGTTCCTGTTTTGTTTTTTTACTTCAAAATAAGATATGTGCAGTGTGCATAGGAATTTGTTCATAGTTTTTTTTTTTTAAACTATAGTCTGGCCCTCCAACCATCTGAGGGACAGTGAACTGGCCCCCTGTTTAAAAAGTTTGAGGACCCCTGCTTTACTTTAACCAGACATCACTTGGATACCCATGAGGGTGGTGAGGAGGGTCAACAAGGTGACACATGGTCTCCAGCCCCATCACCTCTGAAGAAGGCAGGAGAAGAGGGCCTATCAAACCGAAGACAAAACCTAAACTCTTAAATATGCAGGATGGAAATGCTCCCTGTAGGATCTGGACACATGGCATATCAACTTAGATGGCTAATTTTGTTCCTCAGCTGCTCCTTTGTGCAGCCAGTAGAGCCCTCTGTAGGGTATCCCCCCGCCATCTCCTTCACTGAGGACATCCTGTCTTAAGCATCTTAGGCAGGCCTTGAGTTCCCAGCTGAAGGCTCTCTCTTGGAGAAGGAAAGCTAGCTACCAGCTATGCAAAACTTTTTGTAAGCTCCAAGGGGTCATCTCTTATTTCAATGCCAGGCACTTAGTAGATGCTTAAAAAACATATTGATTGCTTTCTGGAATCAGTTGCTTTTCATCTCAGTGTATTCTGGGGTAAGGAACCAACTTGAGCTTTGACGCTCAGCCAATCTATATTGAAGGAACTGAGTTGCCATGCTAAGCCTCAGCTTGCTCATTTTCTACATGAGAAAAAGAGTGCTACTGAACTTAAAGCAGGGGCTTTTAGCTTGGAGTCCATGGATCCTTAAGGAGCCCTTAAAATTGAATGTAACTTTTGATTCATATGTATTTTTATACAGGAGAGAGGTCTCTGTTTCATCAGATTCTTTAACTAGGTCACTGACTTCTTAAGAAAATGAAAAAAAAAAAGAAAGAAAGAAACCACTGTGGCCTTAGACTTTTTCATGAAGATAGAGATAACATATATGAAGTTACGAGAATGTGAGAATCCACTGCAGCCAATGTTCAATCCCTGGCTTGGGGGAGGGAACCTTCTCAGCTTTGTACCAGCCTCTCCCAACCCTTAAGTGTCTTGCAGCCCTCCAGATAGGTCTTCTGAGTGACCAACTGAGTCATCTCAGGAAAATCCTTTTCTCTCTGGTTTCTTGTCTGTAACATGAAGAGTTGGACTTGGTGTTCACCCAAACCTAGCCGCTGTTAACATCCCGACTCTGCAGATGAATACCAACATGGTTAGTTCTGGGCCTCATTTTCCAGAAAGCTACGGAGGCTAGCTTCTGCTTTTTTACCTCCAGGAATGTTTCAGTTGGTGAACAGAAGTCAGTTTTTGTGCAAATATGAGGAGGAGACTGGGAACAGGGTAGGAGGGCATTTTCAGGACTGTGCAAGGAGCCAAATAGATGGAGGCCTTTGAGCTCCTCCGTTGGAAAAAGGTGGGGTCAGAGTACCAAGGTTTTGGAGAAGCAAAAGGGTTCAGAGGAGCAGAGGGGGTGGGGGTGGGGTGGGTCCAACTTCTCTGCTTTCTTCCAATTGTTCAATTAGCTGAAAAAGGAAACTGAGATAAACACTGGTGTTTAGAGGGCAAACCACCAATTTGCATAGATTTAGACAGAAAAGAGCCCCTTGGCTCTCTTCCTCTTTGGCTTGCTTCCAGGCGTTCTTGATGAGCTCTTGTGAGAAAAGCACACCTCCTGTAGACCCTGTGTTGGGGCAGACCTTCAAACTCACCCTCTAGTTGGCTTTGGAGAGAGAAGGACCCCTCCCTCATTCTTCATAGACCTGGTGTGGGCATCCAGGGGAGATACACAGAAAACCTAGTCTTCCTTGGCTAGTTCTTACATGGCTACAGTAAGTGTCTCCAAGCATAAACTGTGACCACATTGAACAAAATATACTTGATGGGAAATTTTTGCATTGGCTACATTGGAGATGCGATCCAATTTCAGGATGTTGTGAGTCTCCACCCTTTCTGTGAACTGGATACCTTAATATAATCAACTGAGAGTGTCCTACTAATGTCTTTCGTTATGTTAAAGCAAGTTTAGTAATTTGTCAACCCAGTGAGATTTTTAGATGCCAGATCTCCCTGTGGAGGAAAGGACTATGCCAACTTCTTTGCCATCAAATGGTCATGAGAATATCCACTGAAGGGAACCACCCAACGCCAAAGAACTTCTAGACCCTGGCATGTGGGAAAACCTGGGTCCTTCTACATTTATGGGGTGAAGGGGTGGGAACTGCCCCACCTGCTAGTTAGACTGTCTTTAGTCCCATCCCACACAAGCTTGGTAGCTCCCTAAGAATTCCCATAGGCCAGGGCCCTGTCGGTTGTTTGGGGGACACACCCATATGGGCACAGTCTGTACTAGGCCACCAGGCCCTGGATTCTATGACCTCATAGCATTTCTCCAGCTTCTGGCGCTTGTCTTGTCCTGTCTGCTAGATTGTGAAGTTTCCTAGGATGAATCTGGCTTAAAATCCGCCTTCCTCTGGGCAGCTCCCCACACCAATCCCTTACCCTCCACCATGCAAGTGCGCTCCTAACCCTGAGACTCCCTATGCGGATCTCAACTTCTCTTGAGGTATATGTCACTTCCTCAGTTGAATTAAAACTATTCACATACATCTTGTTTGTCATTCTCCTGTTCATTCCAGAGTTCATGTCTTTCTCATTTTAATTATTTGCCTCCCTAGCACCTGCTTGCTGTCAGTTTTTGAATTCATTTGTTCAATCATCACCGACTCATTCATTCAAGAAAATTTATTGAGCACGTCAGCTTCTGCCATCATTGAACTCACAGTCTAACTGGTAAGTTTGATACTGTCAAACTGTCCTTTAAAATGATTTTAAAAAAATAGAAAAGTTGGAAACTGTGACAAATGCCGTGGAAGGAGGGTGCATTGCACTGAGAGTGTAGAATATCATGATATGACGGAAGCAGGTTAGGAAAGACTCCCCTGAGGAAAGCACAAAAGTGAATAGGAAGCAATTGGGCAAGGAGGAAAAAGAGTGCGTTCAGGCAAAGAGAATGGCATGTGCAAAGGACCTGTGTCAAAATAAACTATGGTGTCTGCTAGGATTTTAAAGAATACTAGTGTGGCAAGGGCAAGGAGAGTTAAGGGCAGTATGGTGACAGACAGGGCTGGAGAGGGAGGCAAGAAAAAGTGATTGCCTGCGTGATCAATTGAATGAATGAGCAGATGAGTGAATGAGCGAGCAAGTGAGTGAGTGAGAATACCTCCTGCCTCTTCACTGGCAATAATGACAGAGTACTGGTTTGAAAGATAGTAGTAAGATTGTCAAGTACCGATTGCCGCTCTACCACAAGCTTTTCTGTGATATGGGATGAGTCTGTTGCCCTTTCTGGGCCTCGGTTCTTCATCTGCTATGATGACAGAGGAGAAGTGGTCATTGCAGTGATGTTTTACATTTTTCCCGTAGACACACTTGTAAAGTTGACTCTAGGCTTTGGTGATGTGTGCTCTGAGCTTCTACCAGGTTTCACAAAAGCAAATGCCTCCAAGGTCACAACGGTCCCATGAATGCATCCAGCCAGCCTGGTGTTAGATAATGGGGCTGGATGTGCCACCTTCCACCTGCTTTCCACAACACCGTGTCTAGTAAGACAACCCATTCCGACTGGCCTGCAAGTTGCCAGTAACTACTTATCTCAAATTTAGCAGCTTAAAACGAAGCGCATTTATTATCGTGCAGATCTGGAGGTCAGAAGTTCAAAATGGGTTTAGGGTTGGGGGGAGGGAGAAGAAGGATAAATGGTGATGGAAGGAGATTTTTATCACTTTGTTAACTAATGTCACGCCAATAAATTCAATAATAAATAAATAAATTCCTAATTGAAAAAAATTAAATTAAATTAAAAAGACATTGGGAGGGCTGCATTCTTTCTGGAGGTTCCAGGGGAGAATCCATTTCTTTTTCCAGTTTCTAGAGGCCGCCCGCATTCCTCAGCTTGTTGCCTGAGCCACTTTGACCTCTGCCTCTGTCTGCCTCCGACCCTCCTGCCTCCTTCCCGGAGGACCCTTGTGATTACATTGGATCCTTCAGGATAATCTCCCCATTGAAATCCTTAATTTAGCTACATCTGCAGAGTCCCCTTTGCCCTTTAAGACAAAATATTGAAAGGTTCTGGATTTAGAATGTA